CCAGCGCTATCAGCAGGGAGGAAGGAGGCCAAGGCACCACAGGCTCAGAGCTCAGGGACAGGAGGTCCGATCTCAACCTCCCGCCCACCAGCCATCTATTTCACTGCCCGAGCCCAGGCCCCTGGGCCAGTCTAGACAGACAGACAGAGCCAAGAAAGCAGAAAACCAAAGGCACCTGATGTGGGAGTTCACGGAGAGACGCAGGGCGGGTGTGGGAGGCCCCACCTCCAACCCCACCGCCTCAGCTACTGGGACAGGGAAGGATCCAGCAGCTTTAGGACGCCGCCCACCAGGTGCAGGCTTCCTGTGACCAGCACGTGGACGGCAGCAGCCTCTCGGAGCACGCTGGCCCCGCTGCTGGCCACAGGGTGGACGAGAAGGTCCCGTGGGGAACTGGGTGTCTGGAGGTCAGGGTCCCGGCCCTGGCTGATCCACTGCAAAGCATGGGAGATGCAACTGAAGACGAGGGAGCTGGTGCCGTGGGTGTGGGGCAGGCGGGGTGCCAGCAGCAGGGAGGCCGGCCCACCAGCCTCCGGACCGGGGGTGCTCCAGAGGTCCGGGCTGGCCGCCTCCTCATCCAGGCGGTTCCAGTGCTGCTGGTGTTCCAAGCAGCGGAGCAACACCTGGTCCAGGGTCACCATGAAGTTCTGCTGGTCTGCAGGACACAGGGACGGCGGTCAGCGAGGCGGGTGGCGGAGGGCAAGCACGCTGCAGACACTTGCTTAAGTCAGGGCCTTTCCCAGGCACTGTCCGTCCTCAGAGGGGACACTGCGAGGAAACTGAGGTTCGGGGACTTGCCCAGTGGCTCAGAGCTGGTGACGAGCAAAGCCAGGCAGCTGAGCTCCAAAGCTGGGGCTTTGCCCACAGAGCACATCTCCCCTCTCCCCACCCTCGCCTCTGCCTTCACCGGACAGGGGCCGTCAGGGTGGGTAGGAACCTTTCCAGAAATGCTGGTTCCTGGGCTCTCCAGACTCTCCCCAGGCAGTCTGATGTGGGGCCTGGGGAGCTGTATTTTTTATAATATTATTTCAAAAAAAATGTTAATGGGACCCATAGTAAAAAAAAAATACACTTTACAATGGCAACGCAGTACTCACATATGTGTATGTTAATGTCTGGAGCAGAATCTTCATAAAATAGTACCTGCCCTTACTTTGTGCAAATACACGGATTATTTCCCATTCGATTTCATTTAAAGTACAAAATGCTGGTTGAGACCCACTAACTGATTTCAAGGACCATCAGTAGGTTTTAATCTGCATTTTGAACAATGTTCTCCCCGATAATTCTTTTTTAGTATTGCAGCCACGTGCTGAATGTATCAAAGGGTATTTATACAGTGAGACAAATCCGGCTCCTACCCCAGACCTCCGTTTGGAAGCCCCCATAATCACCAACAAAGCAGCCCACCTCAGGGCCCTCCACGCCCTGCCCACCTCAAGGGACCATGTCTGCCACCTCTCACCTGCGTTGCCCGTGGATGACACCTCCGTCAGGTTAGGGCAGAAAACAGCATAGTCAAACTGGCAGGGCTAGAAGGCCAGGGCAAAGCTTGGTGTCAGAGCCCTGAGGGGATGCCCACCCCCACCCTGTCTTCCCCACAGCACAGGGAGTCCCCCCACACACACCCGTCTCTGGAGATGCCCTCCGCTGGGGTGATGCTGCATAAACCCAGTCACAGCACTTCAGAGCCACCCCCTGTCCCCCCAGCTACCCCAGTACCCCTGCCTGGCCTGTGGCCTGGGCAGTACAGCCCATTGTACAGAGGGGGAAACAAGCTTGGGGGCGGGGTACAGGGTCAGGTCACCTAGCTACTAAGCAGGCTCCAATTCAGGGATTAGCCCCAGGCTACAATTGAGGAAACGAGGTTCAGGGTGAAGCCACCACCGGATGTGGGTGTCACACAGACAGAACAGGGCTGGGCTGCCTGCTGCCCAAACACCCGCCCGCCTCTCACCCGCAACAGCTTCAGCAGGGGCGCCGGGTCCCGGTCACCCATGGAGTTGAAGAGCAGGACGCGCACCTCCGGCACCTCGGGCCCACTGCGAGGCGAGGGGGAGACGGGAATAGCCCCACCTCCCACCCACCTTTCCCGCAGAAACTTCCCTCCGTCCACCGGCCGGCCCCGCCTCTCTGGGCCCCGGACACCGCCCCTGCCCCTCCGCCCGCACTCACCACTCACCTCTTCTGGCGGCGGTGCAGCGCCTGGCGGAACCAGCGCACGCAGGCCTGCACGCTGCTGGAGGTGTGCGCGCCATCCAGGTACCAGGTGAGGGGCCCGCGGCACAGTATCTGCGTCCGGCCTGGCCACTCCGTGTCCCGAAGCCCTGGGGGGCGGGCAAGGCCGCTCCTCAGACTCTCCCATCTTCTTCAACTCGCACACAACCCGCCCCACAGCACGCACCCCACCCCTGTCTGAGGGCTCCAAGGAGCTGATCAGCCCAGGAGCCTATGACCGGTGCCAGAGGGATCAACAATTCTGCTGCCTCTTCCAGGCAGCCCTCAGGGGGGCTACTATCACATATTAGCCCTTAGCTCAGAGAGATTAGGTCACAGAGCATGAGTCTTGGGACTGGGATGTGATTCAAGATCTACCTGGCCCCAGAGCTGTTTCATGGCCCGACATGAGGCCTGGCACACAGCAGGGGCACCGGAACCATTTGCTGAAGGGGTTTAACAGCCATGAGCACCTACTCTGTGCTGAAAGCTTTGGGAGAAGCCTGACAAATACCACCGTTCTTAAGAATCTCATGGTCTTGTGATGACGATGACAAGGATGACCGTAACAGCAGCGACCACTGGCTGGGCACTTTATCTCATATCGACAGGCTCTGGGCTCAGTCCCTTGGTGATGTCACCTCACAGTGGGCCCTATAATCATCTCATCTGGCAGGTGGGGAAACTGAGGCTCATAGAGAGTTCGTGAACTCAAGGTCAAGGAAGCTTACTGACTTCAGAGCCCTTTCTCTTGGGCACCATTATCGAGTGACCCCACCTCTCAAAGAGCAAAGTGAGAAACATCTGAGGGGACCCGGCTGGGCAGGAGGGTCTAACTCACCATGCCGCATGTGGGATGTGGGCTGGAACACGGGTGCCAGAGGCAGCTGACACAGCAGGCTTGGCCTGGGCGCTTTCAGCTCCCCAACGCCTGGGGGCAAGGGAGGGCGGTGTGGGACTGAGTGTTCTCGGAGCCTCAGAGGCAGGCTCCACGCGTCCCTGCCCACCAGCCCTCAGAGGCAGGCTCTGCGCGTCCCTGCCCACCAGCCCTCAGAGGCAGGCTCCGCGCGTCCCTGCCCACCAGCCCTCAGAGGCAGGCTCCGCGCGTCCCTGCCCACCAGCCCTCAGAGGCAGGCTCCGCGCGTCCCTGCCCACCAGCCCTCAGAGGCAGGCTCCGCGCGTCCCTGCCCACCAGCCCTCAGAGGCAGGCTCCGCGCGTCCCTGCCCACCAGCCCTCAGAGGCAGGCTCCGCGCGTCCCTGCCCACCAGCCCTCAGAGGCAGGCTCCGCGCGTCCCTGCCCACCAGCCCTCAGAGGCAGGCTCCGCGCGTCCCTGCCCACCAGCCCTCAGAGGCAGGCTCCGCGCGTCCCTGCCCACCAGCCCTCAGAGGCAGGCTCCGCGCGTCCCTGCCCACCAGCCCTCAGAGGCAGGCTCCGCGCGTCCCTGCCCACCAGCCCTCAGAGGCAGGCTCCGCGCGTCCCTGCCCACCAGCCCTCAGAGGCAGGCTCCGCGCGTCCCTGCCCACCAGCCCTCAGAGGCAGGCTCCGCGCGTCCCTGCCCACCAGCCCTCAGAGGCAGGCTCCGCGCGTCCCTGCCCACCAGCCCTCAGAGGCAGGCTCCGCGCGTCCCTGCCCACCAGCCCTCAGAGGCAGGCTCCGCGCGTCCCTGCCCACCAGCCCTCAGAGGCAGGCTCCGCGCGTCCCTGCCCACCAGCCCTCAGAGGCAGGCTCCGCGCGTCCCTGCCCACCAGCCCTCAGAGGCAGGCTCCGCGCGTCCCTGCCCACCAGCCCTCAGAGGCAGGCTCCGCGCGTCCCTGCCCACCAGCCCTCAGAGGCAGGCTCCGCGCGTCCCTGCCCACCAGCCCTCAGAGGCAGGCTCCGCGCGTCCCTGCCCACCAGCCCTCAGAGGCAGGCTCCGCGCGTCCCTGCCCACCAGCCCTCAGAGGCAGGCTCCGCGCGTCCCTGCCCACTCCCCCTGGTGGTCCTTTCACTGCAGCCA